ATGCGCTTGGTACAGAGCAATACATGTTAACAGATTGTCATTAGAAATGTCATTAATATCATTTCACAGTTGTAAAAGTACTATAACAAGAAATAAAAGATACAAGACAATATTTTTCTTGTTCTCCAAATGTATAAACTTCTACTTTCTCTACATCTCATTTTGAAACATTATTTTCTAGACTCTTCTCTCTAGACAGGCTGGAAATTACACAGTCTCGCGTACTTTGAGATTGCCTTAATTCAGTAAGTAAGCAGTTTCCATTCGTGCCTGTCTTCCTAGCAGAATCTAAGCTCCAGTGTAGCAAGGATGGTGCTAATATCGAGCCCAGAACCTGACACTTTGTCAATTAACACGTTTTCGCATAGATGAACAAGTAATGGTATAAGGCAAAGAATTCTGGTAAGTATATTCTGAAACAGCACATTTATGACATTGGAGGGAAATATTACTTCCTCCCTCTCTCTAAGAAGTGGGGAACCGTTATCTTATAAATTAGGAAGAGAGTGAACATTTGGTTTCTGGAAGCTATTTTTGCCAGCTCTTCCTTTGGACAATCACGCTAGCTGAACCTGTCCCCAGGAATCCTTGCAGTTACAGCAGAGCTCTGGAAACCCGGTACTTTTCCAGGACCTCATGTTCAGCAAAAGGAAAAGTACTCAGTCTCTCTAGATTATCTTTGCCTGGGGTTCATTAGCTCTTACACTCTGACTCATGAAGGGGTGGAGATCTGAAAACTCATTTCACAGATGAGGTTCTGGGCTCAGAAAACTAATTGATTTTCTCAGCCTACCACTTGTTTATAGATCTGATGCAATTGAAAACATGAAGATTCTTATTCCCTCACCCTTATTCTCATTATAAACTTACTTTTATCGGGGGAAGAGGGGCTAAGATGTAGCTAGGTAGAAAACTCACACTTTATATGCCCGAGGCGTTGGTGGGGTACTTGAGAACAGGGGAAGGAGTGGGTAAGAGAAGTATTATTATTTTTGGAAAAATTTTCTGTTACATCGGAGGAAAAGATCTTGATATGTCAAGCAGCAGAAGCAGAGTCAAATTTGGTATATAACTAGGAAATATAGAAAGTGCAGGGAGCTCAAGCATGTGTGTTTTTTCTTATTTATCTATGTAGTAATTTTTAAAAGACTATGCCGAAAGATTACACATTTATCTCTGGTTGTTTCATAGCTTATTTTATTCATGTTCTACTGTGTTAAATTTTTATTATTGTGAGTGCATGATCCTTTTTAATCAGAAATTTAGGCTTTAAATCTCTTATCTAGTATTTTGGGAAGAGTTTTTTTTCTACTGCTCCATTCTGCAAGGTGGAAGGAGCATCAGTATAGAGTTCCAGAAACGTCTTACTGGTCATTTACTCTACCCTGTAAAATGGATGTAATTATTTCTACTTCACAGGGCTCTCACGTACATCTACAGCTTGATAAAAGGTGTTAGGTGATACCCTCGTGATGATCAAGTTCTTGGCATAATAGAGGTGCAAGAACCTTTATGATAAGCTAGTGTCTTTGTATTAGAAGTTTCTATTGAGAAGGAAAGAAATTTGCCTGGAGAGACATGAGAGATTTTAGTGAGGATGTGTAACTTTGGGACCACAAAGAAAGCTTGGGAAAATAGTTCCCCCCCCCCCCAAAAAAAAAACAAGATAGAAATAAAAGAGTTTTTGAATTTGAAGAACTGGGAAAATATTTTGTCTTCTATTTCTTTTTAGACTATTTTGTTTTTTAAATTTCATATATGTGGACTGTATTTACATCATCCCCCGACTCTTTCCACCAACCCCTCCTATGGCCATCCCCACACCCAGCCTGCTTCCTCTCAAATCCATGACCTCTTTTTGTTTAGTTATTATTGTTACATATATAAACAAATAAACAGATAAATACAACTTGCTGCGTTTGTTTAATGTTGCTCATATGTATATGTGTTTAGAGTTAATGGGTAGGGATTGGCTAACCTATCGGGGGCTCATATACATTGGCATGTCAGTTGACGTTGTCACGTTACAGGTCATATATAGAACACACTAACCCGCACAAGCATCCTGGCCTTTGGCTCTTACAGTCTTTCCTTCTCCTCTTCTTCTCCTCCCTGATCCCTAGTCAGGTGTAGGGGTTGTATTGTAGATGGTCACCCCATGCATTTTGACCTTTTTTTTTTCACTACTTTTTAAACAACAAAAATGTACTAATACTCATAATAACAAAATCTGTTTTCATGTGTTGAGGGCTTAGGCTATACCAAGTACATTATCCCTTGTAGTCCTCATCATAATTGAAAACCATGAGACTCCAATTGGGTTATTTTAAACAGTCCCATGATTAGTGGGTCGTGGACCCCAGTTAGAAGAGAGAAGTGAGGAGCTGGAGAGGTGGCTTAGCAGTTAAGAGCACTTATTGCTCTTGAAGAGGACCAGAGTTCAGTTCCCAGCACCAATATGGAGCAGCTCATAACTGTCTATTAAGTCCAGTTCCAGAAGATCTGACACTCTCTTCCTGCCTCCCCCTACCCCGCATGCATATACACAGACAAATACACAAATAGAATCATGCAGAATCTAAAAACACACATGTAACCAAAAGAAAAAGTCAGACTCCTGGGAGTGGAGTAGAATAGTGCTTATCAGTAGCTTCTAGGCTGACCTAGAAAGGGAGATACTGTTCAATGGCTACAAAGTGACAGCTAGACGGGAGGAATAAGCCTGGTGTTCCACTGTACAGCAAGTTGCTTACAGCTAACATACTGAACATCTGGAAATAGCTAAGAGAAGATTTTTAATGTTTTCATTTCTGCAAAGATATTTGAGGGGACAGGTGTCAATGACCTTAATGTGATCATTCCATATCCATACCTGTGCCAGTTATACCCTATAATTATAAGTTGTAAATTGGAAATAAAACCAGAGCTGTAGTAGATTAGCTGTTTAGCACTCAAGAGGCCCTGAGTTTAATCCTCAACATCAAAATAAATAATATAAAAATGAAACTAAAAAAATGTAACTTCCAGAGGTGGAAAGATAACTCAGTTAGAAAAGTACTTGCCATGCAACATGAGGGCTCAAATAAGATCCTCAGAAATGCCTCCCCCACAAAAAAAAAAAAGGAACCTGTTGGTATTTGCTTGGTATCCCAGTGCCGGGGAAGTGGAGACAGGAGAATTCCAGGGGAGTGCTGGCCAGCCAACCCCGCAGAATTAGGCAAGCCAATGACAAAACCTTGCCTCAAAAACAAACAAACAAACAAAAGGTGGATAGTGCATGCACACCCATACATATACACATGAGTACCCACACATATATGCACACCCATACATATACACATGAGTACCCACACATATACGCACACACACACACACACACACACACACACACACACAGTGACTTCAGAATAAACAATTGTTTAACTAAATGTTGCACAGACCTATGGTATAGTCACTTAAGGAATGAAAACTGCTAACAAATGTCTACAGTTCTTTATTAGAATTGCCAAAGGGGGAAATAATGCAATTATTCTTTAACCAGATGAACAAATTGTGACTTAGCCACATAATGAATTCTACGCATCTACAAATGGATTGGCTATTGATAAATGCAACTTGGATGAATTTTAAGCATTCAGAGTAAGGAGTGGCAGCTCCCCAATGCTGCGTACTTGCTATTCATATGACATTCTGGAAAAGGAAACTACAGAGGAAAAGGAAGACGGTGGAACCACCCACTCCCAGCACAGGTGGGGATGGGAGATGGGATCCAGGGCCTACAACATACTAGGCAAGCTAGCCACACCCCCAGTTCAAAGATGGAACTGTTTATTGTGATTGGCACATGAACATGCAGCCATCCAAGTGTCCACAGCATTGCAGAGGGCACGCGTACAATCCTGGAATCCGAGTTCAAGGTCTTTTTCGGCACTTCAGTGAGTTTGGCCTGTGCTACTCGAGACCCAGTCTCAAAATGCAATGAAACATATAGCAATATAATAAAAAAAGTGACATTTGCTACATACATTTAAGAAATGAGGCATAAAAATAAAGCAATACTAGCAGATGGTGGATACAAATAACATGAGCGATTCGGTGGAAAAACTTCCCAGATCTTGTTGGAAAAAGAGGAAGCTGTGTATCTTTACTATGGTGGTGGGGTTGGGGGTGGTTATGTAAGTTTAGATATGACAAAATGATATGAGTTTTACACCAATGTCCGTTTCCTGTTTTTGATGTAAACCATGGAATAAACTGAGTGAAAAGTAGAAGTACTTCTGTGTATTATTTTTTGTAACTTCTTTTCATCTATACATCAAGAGACTAATCCTATTACTACATTTCTTGTGCATCATTCCCATTTGAAACCTGATACTGGAATACACGAGCATGTACATAAAATTTATTCATGAACATTTTTTAACAAAAGAGTGGTATATTACATCATTGTTTTGAACCATATATATACATTGGATCTTGCGCAATTTTTTCCTGGACGCATAGTACTCTATTCCATAATGCATTTCAATTCATTGATGAACACTGGTATCTTAACAAGGAGTTGAACTTAAATTTAATTTGGAAATTTTTACAATATGAAAGGCTAGCTAGAATTGAGACCAAATTTTTTCACAGATTCATGACCAGAATGTCTTTTAATTAGAAGGAAGAAGACAAGTGACGAAGTAGAAACGCTGGGAAATGTCCTGGGTCGAATGGGAAGGAGAGGGCCTGCAGTTCAGAATTACTGCCGGGTAGGAAGGGCAGGGAGCAGAATGGAGGGAGGTTGGGGGGGGGGGGGGGGGGAAGGCCGATGTAGGAGGAGGCCAGGCTCCAAACCAAGCCTTCCCAGGGCTACCGCACTGGTAGACTTAAGTGTGTCCACAGGCTAGGCACTGTGACAGTTCGTGCCCATCTCCAGCCTCCCGCAGGGCACCCCTCCCAGGCGGGTTCCGACCACCCCCTCCCCCCACACACACCCCCGCCTCCAGCCCACGCGCGCAAGGGGAGCACACGTGGTGACCTGCCTGGGGCCGGATTCCCGGCTCCAGCTCCTCCTCCCTCCAGCTCGCACTCGGCTTGCTGCAGTATCACGTGCAGCCGCGCCGGGTGCAGGATGGCGGCGGCGGCCGCGGCGGCAGCAGCGCTGGGTGTCAGGCTCCGGGACTGCTGCAGCCGGGGCGCCGTGCTCCTGCTCTTCTTCTCTCTGTCACCTCGGCCCCCGGCCGCTGCTGCCTGGCTTCTGGGTCTGCGGCCCGAAGACACTGCTGGAGGCCGTGTGTCCCTGGAGGGGGGCACTCTGCGTGCGGCCGAAGGCACCAGCTTCCTCCTGCGGGTCTACTTCCAGCCTGGGCCGGCGGTCTCCGCCGCGCCTGTGCCAGCACCTTCCCTGGCCCCGGGGGAGAACGGCACGGGCGACTGGGCCCCACGACTCGTGTTCATCGAGGAGCCCCCCGGTGCGAGCGGCGTGGCGCCCAGCGCGGTCCCCACGCGTCCCCCGGGATCGCAGCGCTGCCGCGAGCAGAGCGACTGGGCGTCGGACGTGGAGGTCCTGGGGCCCCTGCGCCCCGGGGGCGTGGCGGGCTCGGCCCTGGTCCAGGTGCGGGTGCGGGAGCTGCGTAAGGGCGAGGCGGAGCGCGGCGGCGCGGGCGGCGGCGGGAAGCTCTTTTCGCTGTGCGCCTGGGACGGGCGCGCTTGGCACCACCACGGCGCGGCCGGCGGCTTCCTGCTGCGCGTCCGCCCGCGCCTCTACGGCCCGGGTGGGGACCTGCTGCCGCCCGCGTGGCTGCGAGCGCTCGGGGCGCTCCTGCTGCTGGCCCTGTCCGCCCTGTTCAGCGGCCTGCGCCTGAGCCTGCTCTCGCTGGACCCGGTGGAGTTACGGGTGCTGCGGAACAGTGGCTCGGCCGCCGAGCAGGAGCAGGCGCGCCGCGTGCAGGCCGTGCGCGGCAGGGGGACCCATCTGCTCTGCACCCTGCTCCTGGGCCAAGCCGGTGCCAATGCCGCGCTGGCCGGCTGGCTGTACGCCTCGCTGCCGCCGGGCGTCGGGGGTTCGGGGGAGGACTACGGCGAGGCGGGGGTTCATTTCCCGTGGCTGCCCGCGCTCGTGTGCACCGGCGCCGTGTTCCTGGGAGCTGAGATCTGTCCCTACTCGGTGTGTTCGCGGCACGGGTTGGCCATCGCCTCGCACAGTGTGTGTCTGACCCGGCTCCTCATGGCTGCCGCCTTCCCGGTGTGCTACCCGCTGGGCCGCCTCCTGGACTGGGCGCTGCGCCAGGAGATCAGCACCTTCTACACGAGGGAGAAACTGCTGGAGACGCTGCGGGCCGCGGACCCTTACAGCGACCTGGTGAAGGAAGAACTCAACATCATCCAGGGTGCCCTGGAGCTGCGCACCAAGGTGGTAGAGGAGGTGCTGACCCCCCTTGGGGACTGCTTCATGCTGCGCTCCGATGCTGTGCTTGACTTCGCCACTGTATCCGAGATCCTCCGCAGTGGCTACACTCGCATCCCAGTGTATGAGGGCGACCAGAGGCACAACATTGTGGACATTCTGTTCGTCAAAGACTTGGCCTTTGTGGACCCGGACGACTGTACCCCGCTGCTCACAGTCACCCGCTTCTACAACCGGCCCCTGCATTGCGTCTTCAATGATACCCGGCTGGACACGGTGCTGGAGGAGTTTAAGAAGGGTGAGCAGTGCTCTTTATCCCTCCCCAGCTCCTATCCCCCTTCAAAGATACTGCCTTTCATAACCACGGGAGGCTTCAGGTACCCAAAGCAATACCTCTGATCTACAGAGCCAGAAACTCCAAGAAGGCCTGCTGTTGGCTCTCTAGATAGCTCATGCTTCTCTCTACCTTCCTTGCAGCTGGCTGAGCCCCAGGCCTCTTCCAGTCTGCTTGGCTCACCAGCTAAACCATATACCTCATTCATTCTCTCCCACCTGTAATTCTTTCTGCGGTCTACCAAGCGTCAGGTATTGTGAGAATGAGCCCAGGAGAGCCTTGGAGTTTAATTGCATACCTCCCTACCCACTACAGGGTTCCCTCTACAGAATCCCTTAGCCTTTGCCTCAAACTCCTAGCGCTGGAAGCTCACCATTTCCAAAGAGAACGAACTCCATTGCTGGACAGCTCCAGCTGCTGACAGTGTCTTCCGTACAGGGAGCAGAAACACGGGTCTCCAGAGCCTCCCAGTTCTGCCCTTTGAGCGAGGTAGAATAAGCACCAGGTTCCTTCGACATTCATTCTTCTCCATATTTAACTTACCAGCAGCCATTCGTCTGACACACAAAATGGCCAGGTTAGGGATTCAGAGCTAGCTACAACAGAGGAGTCTTTGTACTTCCAGAAGCTCTTGCTCCTCACGGTAGGGTAGGTGGGGACTTAAGGAAATATTTCTTCAGAGTGAAGGCCCCAGGAAACTTTCGCACAAATGAATGGGTTTCTTTCAACACCATCACCAGCTCCCCATCCCTCCTAACCTCAAATATGGTGCCATAGCAAGCTATATGACCATTGACTTCATGCATGGGGTTTGTCTTTGGATACTGCCTTCTGAGCCTGAGTACAAATTCACTCAAGAAAAATCAGCCTGGACACTTTAGAGTTGGCCATCTTGGCCTTGTGTTTGCCCTGCCCCCTTGTTTGCCAGATCTAGCCCAGAGATGCCCCTGATTTTTGTTTTTAATCAAATCTACGTCCAGGGGTCACCATTGAGAATATTCAAAACACAGTCTCATGTTTCCCTGTCTCCCTCACAGTTGGCTGAGCCCAGGCCTCTTCCACTCTGCTTAGCTCACTGGTTGCCATGTTCTGATTCATTGTCTCCCAGTTGTGATTTTTACCCCCCTGAGACTTACCAAGGCTTAAGTTTCTGCTGAAAGCAATTCCAGTTAGTTTGAGAAAATGTCTCATTGTCATGTAGTGCCAGAAGACATGTAAGAAAATATTTTATTAATTCTCTGGTCATTTTATATAATGTATTATAATCATATTCACCATCATTCTTCCTCTTTACTCCTCCTGGATCCATCCCACCTACCTACTCTCCCAACATCTTGTCCTCTTTTTCCTCATATCCACAAGAGTATGGTCAACCTACCAGGGGCTACACCCTGAAAGAATACTGATTCTTCCTGTCCCCCAAACCGTCAACTGTCTATAGCTCCTCAGTTAAAGGTAGAGACTTTTATGAACTCCCCGATCTAAGCTTAGGTGTTGACTGGCTTGATCTTACGCAGGTCTTGTGCAGGCAACCACAGCTGCTGTGAGTTCATGACTGCTGTGGTCCTGTCATGCCCAGAAGACACTGTTTCACTCTGGCCCTCCCTGACTCCCAGGTTTTACAATGTGTCTGCCCACCCCCATTCTGTGATGGCCCATGGTCTTGAGGGCAGGGATATAGATGTCCCATTTATGGCTGAGCACTCCACTAACACTTATCCTCTATGCTTTGACCAGTTGTAAGTTTCTGTATTAACTACCATCTATTATTGTACAAGGAAGCTTCTCTCATAAGGTCTGAGAGCTACGCTAATCTATGGGGAGAGATACAAATTTAGAAGGCAGTTTGGTACTAAGTCCACTTAGCAGAAGAATTAGTGGTAGGTTTCCTCTCCCTGACCACAGCCTGTGAGCTCTCCAACCATGGGTTCCAGATTTATAGTACCAGGCATGTTTCCTCCTGTGAAGCAGGCCTTAAATCCAATCAGAAAGCAGTGTGCTGCCCCCATAATATTCATGCCACTATTTCAGCCATGGGTATATCTTGCCACAAGAAGTCATTGTTTTGGTTCACAGTGTTCACAGCTGAGTAAGACTGTTGACTTTTTTTCCCCCCCAGCAATCTACATAGCACCTTCCAATACTCTGGAAATAAGCTGTAAGGAAGCCTCCTAGTCAGTACCATCTTCATTCCTCCGTGACTTGTGACTAAAGTATATGGTGTCCTCAGCAATAGGGTCCTACCATCAAATTCTAATGAGCAAACAGAGGGATGCTAATAACCTATAGTGTTCAGGGAAGTCTCTAAGAGAGCTCTGAACAAAGACCTGAGGGACAGTATCTCACTAGATGTACTGGAATTTTTAGTTCAGAAAATGTTTTTAATGAGACTCTGTGATTTCTTTCATTCATCTACTTAGTATCTATTGATACACAGTTTGGGGTAACAGTGGAGGCCTTCAGGAAGTTAACAGTTTATGGAGTATATAAGGTTAATAAGAGCAGTCTTTAGGAGCAAACTTTGTGTTCCAGGAAAAGTTGTTCAAATAGTTGATATTGATTTAAAATGAATCCACATGCAGAATTTCCAAGTCTGGTCTGAAACAAGCTTGCTCTATTCTATTAATAGTCTATTATTAGGAAGATCATTAAAGAGAAATAGGCCATGACAACAAGCATTAGGCCAACAAAGGTATTTCTGTGTCTTGTCAGAACTCTGCCACTTCCTTGGAATGCCATCCTTGAACCCAAAGCACGAGTCTCACATGGAAGCGTATTGGCAATGCAGAATTTCATGCCTTACTATAAATTTCCTGGATGAAAATCTGCATTTCTAACAAGTCCTTGGGTGACTTGAGTTTATATTAAAGTTGGAAAGGAATTAAACACCCTCAGAGAACCCTTATTAACAATGCTTGGTAGACCTACTTTGGGTGGGAGACAAGAAATCATTAACAAGAGGTTATATCAGGCTCTAAGCCATGGAACAGTGGCCAACTTGTATGACTTATGCTTGCACCACATGTCAGGAGAAGCAAGCCAAGTTAAACTGCTTTTCTTTATATTTAAAAATAACTTTTAAGCTAGTCTTTAATAGCTCTTCCATTTCCCTTACTTCTTCGAATCTCAAGTAACTTAACCATTTAAACAAATCCCTTAGGAGGTGAAAGAGGAAAATGATTATATTAATAGGAGCAACAGTTGCCATTAATTGAGTGACAATTCTGCCAGGCACCACGCCAAGCCCTTTTTATATTCAGAACAGCCCTCCTGGGTAGGTATTATTAACTCCATTTTGTAGATGAAACTTCTAAAGCTTAGATCGATAGCACGACTTACTCAACTTCCCATAGACGATAACTGAACTGTGATTAAACTAGGTCTGTAGATGCCCAGTGCCCATCTGTCTGCCACCCTGACTCTGGCTACTCTAATCTTGTCCCTCCAACCTGACATTTCTGCTACCTAGAGTGGTGGCAAAAACTGGCCTTTTTTCCTGACTTACTGCCCATGGCTTTAGTGTCTTTGGGTTAGGAATGTAGCTTTAATAATTGTAATAACCACTAGCATATATATTCCACTTTAAGGTTCTACTTACCTTATCTGATTCTAGAGTTGCAAGGATTGACCCTAAGACCCAAATAGTTATTCTTAGATCACCACTGAGCCTGTGTAACCCAAATTCAAATGTGGATCACATGACCCAAAGCTCTTAGTCTCTGCAGGAGAATACCCCTGTACTTATCAGTTGCAAGTCTTTAGGGGTAGGGAAAAGGAAAATAGTCTTTCCAGTTGGCATGCCAGCTTCACAAAGGGAACGGTATTTATTCCCACAGGACTGAGTTCCTTGATGGCAGAGAATGAGTCTTACTACTTTTCTCAGAACAAGCACAAAGACTGCCATGCAATTATAAGTAAGCATTCACTGAGTAAGTAATCATAGGTAAATTTCATATTTCTATGTTTGAGTGAAGGTGAGCCCTAAATATAAAAGATGTGGAGTTGTTTACTGACCACTGCAAATGTCTCTTCCCTTCCTTCCAGTAGAGACAGCGCGGTCCCTCCAGTGTGCTAAGACAGAAACCTCTCCATTATTATCCATCCTTATCATATTCATCTTCATCTTGGCGTGTTCCTTGGGAGCTGCCATACTCAAATACTATAGACTGGGGTGTCCTAAACAACAGAAATCCCTCTTCCCACTGTACTAGATGGTGGACATCCCAGCTCATGGTTCTGGTTAACACAGTTCCTGGTGCAGGCTCTCTTCCTGGCTTGCCTCTGTCTGCCTCTTTCTGGTCCCCACATGGCCTGTCCTTAGTGCATGTGAAGAGAGAGCAAGAGAGCTCTGGTCTCTCCTTAGGAAAATCCCGATTCTCAGTATTGCATACAGACTCTTGAACCTACATGATTTAATCCCACTATTTCTTCCACGTAGATTATTCATTGGTTTTATTCAACAAGTAATTACTTTGTACCAAGGATGTAGACACGGTGGAGAACACTACCAGTGTGACTCCTTGTCTGTTTGGAGGCTGCAGGTCTAATAGAAGAGGTGGACATCAACAAACGAGTCTGAGATTCAGAGCAGAAGCCTGGTGCTGGTACTGGCTTGGTACTGCTCTTGACCAAATTACTTTTCTATATCTGTTTCATTAGCTATGAAATGGTGATGATAATAGTATTCATTTATAAGGTTGTTGAGAATATTAAGACTATTGCATTGTGATGCTCATTTAGCACCTATCACAAGTGCTAAGTGGTAGCTGTGGTTAGCTATTACTCATTTGTGAAAATGTCTCCTAAGAAGTTACGCTTCCTCAAATCATTGTTTCCCTACAGCCTGTCCTCTCTAGTGTCACTAAAATAATCTCTGTGTTTTCATCCTCTGCTTAAAACCCTTCAACTGCCTCCGCATTCCAAAGGGCACAGTCTAAGCAGAGGTGGAGCCGTGGGTACCCTGG